AGCCACTTAAAAAGCAGTCTCTCCACATGATTAAGTTATTTGTAAAAGTTGTCACAACTTAATAATTAAAGAGTTCCTAGGGGTTCTCATATTGAGACTGTCTCTCTGCAGTGTGAGTCCTTACCAAATGCTACTTCAGAAAAACACTTCCATTGTGGACACAGATAACATAAAAGAACTTTGCTTTAGTTTGTAAAAAAAAACCACATCAGACCCTCACCTACAAAAAGAAGGTATTTAAGTGATATCATTTCCACTTACATAGTGGTATGTTAATAGTACTAGCCACAAATAATGATGCGGTCAAGGTACTCCTTGTGTGTGACTAAAAGTTTAATTCTTAAAAAATCATTCGTTCTAAAAAAGAACCATAGAAGCGTAACAATCAGATTTCTTTGCTACAGAGAAAGGTATTTTTTTTTCTTTGAGCTTTTATATTCCACCTCTTGTTTAGTAGTTTGGCCACTGTTTATTTTCTGTTTGTGTCTGAACAGTTCTGCAAGTTCAAAAAAAAAGGTTGAATCATCTGTCGAAGAAAAATTAATCGAAGGCTGTTAAATTTGCACTCCCTTTGTATATTTTTTTTTAGAGTATCCTTCTCTTGGATGGATGGCCTTACAGGGCCAAGCGAGCTCTGTCTGCCCGGGTTTGGAGTTAGAGTTGTCCTTCTCCTAGGATGACTGCCGGAAGGCTAGTGAGCCCATCCTGCTCATGGACACATTTTATCTGACCCTTCAGTTTTGACCTGTCTGGCATGGGAGACCCTACTAGAGGCATATACCACCGCCAGCACAGCTTGCAACCTCATGAGGGCACACAAGCTTCTTCCCCACTAAAATGATTTGGATGAGCCTTTCTATCCCTACTTTTACCCCCCAGCCTCCTACACTCAAACCCAAGGACATTCCTTTGTCCTAGACACCCTTCCAAGATGCTATAATTCCAAAACAAACCATTCCTGGGCAGAAGCTGCAAGCGAGCCAAGAGAAGGATACTCTAATTAAATCTACATCCTGAGGACTTCACTGTCACCATCCAAGCTCTCTAGGCCCTGACAGATGAACCTTAGGAGTAAAGGATGGGACCAGTTCTGCGCATGCTGTGCCTCACTAAAAAATCCACTGTGCAGGCTCAAAGCCCTTTACTCAGTGCAGATGGTCAAATGCTTCTGACAGATAAAATTTCCATTCTGAATCGATGGTCTGAACATTTTCAGACTCTTTTCAGTACCAACCGTGTAGTTCAAGGCTCAGCAATTCAGTACATTACATTCAGTACATTACAACAACTGGTGAAAAATGAATTAGATATTGCCTTTACTATGGGAGAAACTCTTAAGGCCATACAGCAGGTGAAAACTGGCAAGGCAGCTGGGGTTGATGGAATTCCACCTGAAGTCTGGAAGCATGGAGGCCAAGCACTCCATGCTAAATTTCACGAGTTTGTGGTGTGTTGTTGGGAACTAGGCCAACTACCATCAGACCTTCGTGATGCAGTCATCATCACCTTGTATAAGAAGAAAGGAGATAAATCAGACTGTTCAAATCATCGAGGTATTACTCTGCTCTCCATTGCTGGCAAAATCCTGGCAAGAATACTTTTGAACAGATTAATACCTGCTATAGCAGAAGAACTTCTACCTGAAAGCCAATGTGGTTTCAGAGCCAACAGGAGTACCACAGACATGGTATTTGTTCTCAGACAACTGCAAGAGAAGTGTAGGGAACAGAACAAAGGTCTCTATGTAACTTTTGTTGATTTCACCTAAGCTTTTGAGCAGAAAAGGTCTGTGGCATATTTTGGAATGTTTATGATGTCCCCCCGAGTTCCTCAAGATGATCATTTTGCTTCATGGATCAGCGCAGCCAAGTCACATATGGCGACACACTTTCTGAGCCCTTTCTAATAACCAATGGTGTGAAACAAGGTTGCGTTCTTGCACCAACTCTATTCACAGTCTTCTTCAGCACGGTGCTCCAAAGGGCCACGGCAGACCTCGATTGATCAGGACGGTACCTACATTCGATACCGTACTGATGGAAGCCTATTCAACCTAAGGCAACTGAAGGCCCACACCAAGACCTTAAATCATCTTGTCCAGGAGCTGTTTTATGCTGATGACGCCACCCTTGTTGCACACACAGAAGCAGCCCTGCAGCGTTTAACATCCAGCTTTGCAGATGCTGCTGAGCTCTTTGGGCTGGAAGTCAGCTTAAAGAAGACAGAAGTTCTCTATCAACCTGCACTTCAGGAAGTCTTCCATTATCCCCAGATCACCATTGGCGAATCGGAGCTCAAATCAGTCCAGCAGTTTAATTACCTAGGTAGCCTCATCTCCTCAGATGGTAAGATTGACAGAGAGATAGACAACAGGTTAGCAAAGGCATATAGTGCCTTCGGAAAACTCCATAAAAGAGTCTGGCGAAATAAACACTTGAAGAAAAGTACAAAGATCAGTGTTTACAGAGCCATTGTACTATCTGCTCTTTTATATGGGTCTGAATCATGGGTCATTTACCACCACCACTTGTAACCCTTCCGTCAACGCTGTCTCCGTACAATCCTAAATATCCACTGGACTGATTATGTGACTAATGCATCTGTTCTTGAACAGGCAGCAGTTATGAGTATTGAGGCCATGTTGCTGAGAACACAGCTGTGATGGGCAGGGAACGTCTCCAGGATGAAGGACCACCGCCTCCCTAAGATCGTGCTCTGTGGCGAACTTGCCATTGGCTGCTGCAAGAGAGGAGCCCCGAAGAGGAGATACAAGGACTCCCTGAAACAACATCTCAGCTTTGGCCATACTGATCATCATCATCGGTCTCCTCTGGCCTCCAATCAGGAGAAATGCAGACACACTATCTAAAATGCTGCTGCTTCTTTTGAGAACACAGGCAGAATCATTCTTGAGGAGAAAAGACGCAGAAAGAACCGTGTCTTGCCAATACCACCTAAGGAGACTTTCCACTGTGCCTTTTGCAACCGGACTTGTCTATCTCACACTGGCCTTCTTAGACATCAGTGTGCTTGTAGCAAGTGTGGATAGAAAAAGGGTTATTGGGAAAAAAGGAATTTAGCAATTTACATTAATTTTTTAAAATTATACTTTTAAGACTAAAAATAATGAAATACATTAAGCATATTTTTTCACATCGAAATTACATATTTTTTACTAAAGTTACTAAAACTTCAGCAAATTTCTTTTCTAAACCAAAGAAATCAAAGTCTTGTTCTCTCTACAGTGATATAAAATTATAAAGTTTTAAATACTAACCTATGTAGTGAGAATAATTTTAATCATATTTAGCAGAAATGTTTTACTTAAAATGCTCGTCTTCTAAACCCAAATAATACACATTATTTTTATTTTTTGAGAAGTAACGAGTTTCTAAATATTTAATTTGTGTAATTCATGTGAAGCACTAAGTATGTATAGTTAACCATGTTCTTGTATTACTAAATGTTGACAAAAATCTTAAAAGGATATAGCAGTGGCTTTGATATCTTGTTTATATACACTATGCTGTTTGCTGTAAGTAAACAGGATGAAAATATTCAATCAAAAACAGTTTTAGTCCTAATTAAATGTTTAAATTTTTGGGATAAAAAGATTAAATAAAATGGACACACTTAACATGATTTATGCTTTTTTGGGGGGCAGGGGGCGGTGAAGTGGAGGGGAGGCACTGAAATCTATCCATTTAATCCCCTTATCAGTAATGGGGCCAATAACCAAAATGTCTGGTCTTGAAAAGGCTGTAGCCTATTCATAGCTTGTAGTTTATTATCTTGCACACAGATTCATATGTCAAAGATGAGTGTAAAAACTGGCTTGTAGTTGTAGCAGATTGGCACAGATTTACCAACATGGTGACTTTTATGTTGCACAATGTTGTAATTATTTGGGTATGTTTGAATGAGACACATCGGCACACCACAGTAAAAACCTTTGATAGTGTCCCAGGAGTCAAGGTGTACGAAGAAGGTGTTTAGTTTCATAGTCCTGAGAACAGATTTTACAAGTTAAAAAGATACTTTGCTAACCATTTGTCAAGTTTAGAATTGATATTCTTGGCTAGGTAATTAAACCTAGTTCTGCCTAGATCTAGTCAATACTGTTTTCCTAACTGAAACTATGTTAAGCATTGCTTTTGAAAAAATATGTAGTTATGAACTACTGAAAAGTTGGTTTTGTAGAAAATATATAGAGTTAGATTGTTTATGGATTTTTTTGCTTTGTTTGGTTTTCACGTAAGTGTCCACACAAATAGAAATAAAATAACTCTGGATATTCAGTTGTTCTTGTGATCTTTGCAATTGAAATTGCTGTAATAACCTACCAAACACATCTGGTTTCATAAACAGGGTTTCATAAACATGATTCTAGATGAATGTTAAGGAATGGATCAGCTCCTTGAAACAAACGCTGTTCTCTTTCAAATATTCTAATGACAAATCAGGAAAGAAAAGATCTGCTTTCTCAGCACAACTGACTCTAAAATTCATTTCGACATTTTCTGTGATGTCAGTGGGTTTTTAGGAAGTTTTTAATATATGTTAGGTTTTATAAAACAGCTGCTGATTGCTAAAGAAGCAGAATTCAGTCTATAGTCTCTGCTTTAGCTAATAAAGCACCAAGGACCAGATCTTAAGTTGGATGGTGTCATATTCGTTAACTACTTTGTTAAACAGAATAAGATTGTTTGAGAAGGGAAGCTGTACTTAGACTTGCTGAGGATGGTACAGTCTTGCCTGAAGGAAATGTATTTTAGCTCTAGCTCAACTGTACCTAAATGTTATCCTGCAAATTCAGGCCTTATTTTGTGAGAGTAATTTAATTATAAATAAGAAAGGCTAGTGTTACATTGCTTTTAAGAAGTTTTTATTTTTTAAACACATAAAATTATAAAATTTTAAATTTTAAATAAAAATGCTTTTATCTCCAAATAATGAAGAAAAATCCTGTGTTTTTTCTTTTTCTTCACTTTTTTTTTTAGCATAGAAAAGTGTCTTAAAGACCTGCAAAAAGAAGTAAATGAAATATGTACTGATGAAATTCTACAAAGCACAACTGACTGCATTCAGTGGCTAAATAACTGCAATTTTAGTTCTCTCAGATCTTCTTCTACAGACCATGGAGAGCTGACGGAGTTCCTTAGGACCCTGGTAAAAAAATTTTATTAAAGACTTTTATGTTTAGAAAGTTGGTTGTATGATTGGAGGTGGGAGTGTGGATGGTTCAATTAGTTTTCTCATTTTGGTCTTCACTGTGGTGATGATAGTTCAGAAATTGTATTATAAGGCTTAGTGTTGTTTTCATGTCTGCAGCAGGGTGTTATGTTTCCTTTAGATCATGCCTTAAATAAACAATCTTGGGACAAAATCCTTTCACAGATGCTGCCGTATGTTCAGCACTGCTAGGATTGTTTCATAAAACACATGTTGGTAAATAAACACTGGAAGTTACTGTCTATACTGTTAGGCTGTTAGTGTTTCTGCCTGTTCTTCACTTGTTTCGGTATGAATTTAACTCATCTAGCGTACGTTATTATCCTTTATGCATTATTTAAGCATAAACTTCCAACTTTCTATGTGGCTGGAGGCATAGGGAGTAGATGCCCCATCCCTGGAGACGTTGAAGGCCAGATCGTACTGGCCTCTGAGCAGCCTGATCAGTTTGAAGATGTTGCTGCTTGTTGCAGGAGGATTGTACTAGATGACCTCTAAAAAGTCACTTCCAATCAAAATGATTCTGTGATTCAGCTCTTTTTAATTAGAAATGTTGGAGCTACATCCATTGTCCTGGCAGGTCGTACAATTGGATGTAGCCAGAAATCAGATTTCAGTTCAATGAAAAATTCCATTATTTTAGAGGATGTTTTTTTCCAAATTTTTTATTAAAAATTTACATCTGAATATACGAGTGGACATGGAGGTCTGGAAAATTGAATTGGCTAGATAAGTGAAAGATGATACCTCAGTAAATGAAAGCCCGCAAGTTTATATATAATCTATATGTATGTGAGTGTGTGATATGATGTAAATATGTAGAAGTGTCAAAACAAGTAGACATTAATCAGGGGATTATTCTTTGTCACTTCCATGTGATTTAGACCATGAACACCTTTAGGCTAAGATTAGCTGTAATGGCAGAGGAAAATTGCTGTAGAGGAGTGTTTTCTCTGGCTAGAGTGCAAGCTTCATCAAATCACCTCCTGTTTTTTTAACACTTAGAACTATTTGTTGCTCTTTCAGTCACCTTTGAATCCACTGGATATTGAGCTGTGCCAAATGAGGAAGTAATCTCTAGAAACACCAGGTCTTTAATGTTCATGTGGTGAAGAAGTGATTTTGTTGCTTTCTGACACAGCTGATCAAAGGAATGTTGCTGTTAATTAATCACTCCACTTGAAAGTTTCAGAGACTGCAACATGTCATACTTGATCTAGATGAAATTAGAGAATCCCAGAAAATACTGACCCATGAAGTTTTTGACTTAGGAAATCTTTTGTCACTCCTCTTAGTCCAGTTAGATCCTTACTTAAATCCCTCAGCAGGTGGCATGGCAATGATGACTTACTTGTGTCCATTCCCTGCTTTCTTCCTTCTGCAGGGTCTATTCAAGCCATATACCTGAACACCAGATGGCGGCATTTGTTTGGGAAACACTGAAATGTCCCCATCTCTGAAATATCCTGCACAAAACATGCTTTCTAGCTCTTCATATGCCCAGGAGCTTACTAACTGCATGACAGTCTTGCTGTGAGCTGTAGAATCCAGTTAAGCCTTGAGAATGGATCTGTGGCAGGCTGCTAAACAGGCAGCAAAGTGTGAGAAGCCTTAAAGTTTCGATTCTGCACAGTTTATCAGGAAAACATTTTTGGAGCTCGGGAAGTTGGACATCACTACTTCCAGGCTCATGGCTTCTTAGATAATCCAGCCTGTTGTATAGATGAGAATACAGATGAAAAGTGTATCTGTATTATCAGAGACAGTCCATCTGTAAGAAGTTATATTCACAGTAGATAATCTTTAGTTCCTTAAGCAGTAAATTATTTTCAGTAATATTCAGCATTAATGAGATTATTATGATCTAACCTTTCTTAAAGGTATCTTTCCACACATTGAACTAATTACTCAGTTAATTTCTTCTTGCATGCTTTTAATTAAATATATATAATACATCTTCAATAACATCAACCTTCCTTCAATTCAGGACAATATCCCTATTCATTGTTATCTCTTATTGTGTGTGTTTTGTTTGTTAAGAATTTTATTTATCTTTTAAGCTGCTGGAACAGTGCAAACTTCTTTCTCTGTTTTGACTGGGGTGCTGTATTTAGGTTTATTGTTATTCTCATGCATTTGTGAACTCTTAGGAAAATACTGAGTTTCTTCATGAAGGCTGAAAATGTTAATTATGTGAAATTTTGTCCTTCTGTGTACTGTCTTGTAGTGCTAAAGATTTAAAAGCTGAATATGAGCACAAGCACATCTTTATTAAATTCTGTTCCTGCTAAAATAATGACAAATTCTTTTTTTAACAAAGTCTTAATCTTATTGTATTTGTATATTGATATGGTAGGTCTATAGTAGCTAGTAGTCCAGTTGGTAGACTGCAACTGGTTTTCTGTATATTATTGTCACTAACTTTCTGTGCTTATAAAGGGAACTTTTCATTTTTCTCCAAACCATTGGAGGATACTAATTTGGATCTTTTTCTCTGGAACAGTTTTGGCATTATCTGTTGAAGTATTTTTACAGGTTAATTTTTAAATAGAAAAGTTTACATCAATATAGGCAGTGGTTTAAGAGACTTGATGACACTGTATTCAGAGCTCTTTTTCTGAGTAATACTACATCTAAAGTGGCATCTGCAAGCTCCCTATTTTTAATGCCGTAGTTTAAATTGCAAAGGCCTTGGAACAATCCTTAGATATATAAAAATATTTCTGCTTTGCCTTGAAAAACAGCAGTGGGGGTTTGCTTAGAAGATCATTTGGATTAATCTTCCAATGACATCAGTTACATTCACTGTTTTCACAGCTTCTCTTGCTTTGTACATTTCAGAATATAGTATTTGAGCATGATTCATTAAAAAAAAGTAATATTTAAATTCCAGAAGTCCACCTGTGAAGACTCAACTTTTCAACACAGTGGTTAGTGTTGAAAGTTTTGGGTTACCCTCTGAGACATGTTTTCTTTAGGGCCAGAAAACTTTATAGAATACTTAAGTAGATAATAAAAGATAATCAGATCAGTGTTATGTATATGCCTATTGATATGTATGATTTAAGATTTTAACTAGTTGCATATATTTCTATTACGTGCACATGCTTTTATAGGATGATATTTGACTGCTAATTTCCTTTATTATTCTGTCTTCCACATGTCTTTTCTGCTTGTAAGTAAAAAAATTAATAAGGTTAATTCTGAAATAAAGATCTAACATGGAAGAAAATAGGTAGTCTATTAATTTTAAGACTTTCCTTTATAAGAGGAATCGTGCTTCCTGTCTAACGTTCAGAATTAGGTACTGTGGTGGAAGTGTCTTATTTTTTAATTTTTATCATGAAACACTTCAGAATAGAGGGCAGTAGAAAGATTAAACTCTTCTTTTCCTGCATAAGAGTGTAACAGTTTTGTAACATCCAGAACAAAGAATACAAGTTCTGATTTTGAAAATTTTTGTGACTCAAAAGCATAATTGTCTATGGAGAAAAGCTTGCTACAGTGGAAAAACTGAAGATTTTTATTTGGAAATAGTTGTATTTATTCAACATTCAAATTTGAATTATCTATCTCTCTTTCAAAAGGACAACAGAAATAAAACTAATCATTTCCTCAAATACTGCAAGTTAAATAAATCAATAATTCTGAAGGTGGGAGATTGCCAACAGTTTCTATACCAGCCTTGCATTATAGCATGGAGTACAGCTAGGAGACCCAGATAAAGGATACGAATGGAAACAATTCCCCTGTGGTGGTTTGCCGCAGTGCTTTTCTCTGTTGGAGAGAAGCAATGGAAAGTGAGGGAGCAAGTGAGAGGGCTTCTAGATCCTTATTTACTCAGGGCTTGCCAACTGAAAATTAAGAGTAGCAGCAATTTCACTCACTTTTCTTGTTACTGTGACAGCAACACTGAGCTGTGACAAGAGGACCTGCTATGTGCTGCATAACTTCTTGAGTCTGAAGCAGCTCTAAGGTCAGAGATTCTGGTCCTGGACCAAGAGAGAGCTCTTCAGACTTGAATGAAGTAGGAACAGCATATGCATCCATGTGATTTCACCTGCTTTGTTAACTGACTTCCTTCTCCACCCCATATAGTGGAGATGTACATGGATATCACTATATTGTTTATGTATCAGTCTGCATCTTGGTTTGATGGGATACACAGCGTCTTATTCTTCTGTCCTGTGTGATCTAAGCCTCTTTAATTCGTAACAAGTTTTCAGTTTTAGTTCTTTAAGGAGATCCTGGGAAGACTATTTTATCCTTAGAATGGCCTTTTTGACAGTTGCCTACTGAGCTATAGAAAGGGACCTGTCATTATCTGTGTAAATATTAAATAATTTTTCATAAAATTTTCCTTCAAAGATGTTTGTGTGACCAGAATAAACAGGCTGCCAAGGGTTTCCCTTGAACTGTGGTCTAGAATTGATTGAGAAAAGAGGTTGGGGATATAAGAAAGATGGAAAGAGGAGTATGAGTTATTGGTAGAGGTAGACAAGGAAATTAATTGGCACATAAATACTGTTTTCCATAGGTTTTATAACTTCTGTTGTTTATATAGCAGTTTATTTTATTTGCTCGTAAGGTAATTAGTATTGGAAACACAGTTTTTGCTCTGGCATGAAGCTGTTCATTTAATGAACCAGGATTAATAAAACATTATTAAAATACTGTCTGATTTACCTTTTTTAGCAAAGCTTGCTGAAGAATGAGCAAAATCAAGAAGAAATGGTACTTCACTTCCTTCTGGATCTCTCTAGTCAGTGTGGTGTCTCATTTCCCTGCACTCCAACTGGGACATCTTTTGAGTTAACATCTTCCCTTCATACCATTGAGGATGATTCAGCTATGGATGTGAAGTCTCTTTGGGATGATGTGAGATTGCATCTTCGACAATTTTTAATAAATAGACTGCAAAGTCAAGAAGAAGCAAACGCTACTGCTTTGCAACAACAAATGGAGTTTAAAACTCAGTGCATACAGCAACTTTTGTTTCTTTATCCTGAATCAGAAGTCTTAACGAAGTATCAAAATATGCAGAATAAACTGGTTAGCGATCTTCTACAGAACTGTATTTTATCTAGTTGTGGTGAAACAAATTTTGATAAGGTGGTTCATGGTTACCAAAGTTCCATACCCACATTGTGCACAATGATAAAAGAAGATTTGTATATACTAAGTGGAACTATTGATCCTTCTTCGTCATTGAAGTTTATTAATGAAACTTATCTGGATACCATCACAGAAGAAATGACAGTTCTTCTTGAAAGACTTTGTGAGCTGCAGTTCAAAGAAAATGCTCTACATATAGTTAAAGCAAACAAGATTTCAAAGAAGTGTAGAGGAACAGTTCACGCTGTGGGTTAGTAGTTTTATTTTATGTTCTTTATAGTTAGATATTATTTTAATTGTGTTACTTTTTTTTTTCCAATATACTTGATTATTTTCTATGGAGAGAGAGACCTAAAATTATTAATTACAGCTTTATGTTTTAACCATGCTACTGTAGTTGAATTCTAGCCTGTGTCAGAATTGTGATGAAAAACGTTTTAAAGTACGAGAAAGTAACTTATGTAGCTTACAAAAACCCCATTATAATTCATTGGATAACACTGTCATGTCATAGTATTTTTTTTTTAGCCTAACTTATTCCTACTGCTGAAATATATAATTAAATAACAACTATTTACTCCAGGTTTAAATAAACACAAATTCCTCAGTCTTTTACCCCTACTTATTTCAAAATGTCAGACATTTAAAGGAGATTATTTTGATGTGTCCATGAAACAGACACAGATTCATACATCAGAGCTAACACAAAAGATTACTATGCAGATTTTAATTGTAAAACTAACAAACACACAAACAAACATTTATGCTTTCTAATTGTGTGAAAGTACAGTAAGTTAGAGTTAATACCACCTGGTAACTTCTTCTTGTTCCAAGGAATGTAAAGCAGGAGAGGAATCTTTTACTGATGTAGTATATTTTGTACTTTTCTTCTTCAGTTTGTAAATCTGATGTGCTAATTTCCAAAGGGAAGAATCAGCACTTCAGAAAAAATCATACGAAATGGAAACTTTCATGACATAATTACGTGATTGTATGTAATTGCTTTTTCAATGCAGAGTTTTGATCACTCCTCTGTGCAGAAGCTGTTTGTTTAAAGCATAGCTTTTCATAAAGGTGAAGTGATTTCCAGGCAGAAAATATTAAAAGCTTAGAATCATGTGAAAAATATAGAAACAGAAGATCTTCGGGTTGTGCAACATACAAAAGGGATAAATGAGGTGATGATTTGTCAGGTTGATGCAGAAGAAAATTGCACTCTTGTGAGTTTTAAAATCATCATATATGTTACTGTAAGTCAAATAGAAATTATAGTGGAAGAAATGCAGAGTTAATTTTTCAACAAGAGATGAAATATGGAGGAGTATGTGGAACATATGAAGGACAAGGTAAGGGAAAAGCCATGCAGACATATAAGTTGAAAGGACAAGTTCACTGTAAAGTTGACATATTAGTGGGATAGAGTGTAGTGTCAGAGTACTGTTGAGGTATGGAATAAACAAGAAGAAATGTACCTTTGAATTATGTAGTGAGATGGGAGTCAATGAAAGGACTCACTGACAGAAAAAAAAAGACCTGTAGGGAACGGGAAATCTGTAGCTAAATTTTAATTTCAGTCTCAAAACAGCTCTCAAAGATGGGTAAGTTCAGGTATCTTCATTTTACATCTAAAACATGGAGTTTAAAGTGACACTAAGGGTGTCTCTAAAATGCTCACACATTAACTCTTTCTGTATTACAAGAAGGAAGAGAACAGTCCTTCAAATCTATTAATACAATACTTCGTCTGCTTGATTTTTTTTGCCAAAAGATGCGCTTTAACATATTGTTGTGCCAGCATATCTATCAGTACAGATTTCCATTGCACATTTCTTTTGTATATTCAGAAAAGCAGAGGTAGGTGTAAATAAACAAAGTAAATCTTAGAAATCTGCTTACAACTTTAAAACATTTTCTGTAATTAATTCGAATTAAAAAAACTTCAGTATTTCATAAGTATTAGAGCAGATTTTAATTTTTATTGAAAATGCAGTAAATGTCAGATTTGCACATGCAAAATCTGTCCTCTTAGCACCTATAAAATGTGCTTGGAAGTGCTGTTCATTAATATAATTTAATACTCCAAGTTACTTTCTTCACAGGGCCTGTCGTGCTCATGTCTTCATATTATTTTACTTCAAGAAGTTAGTATGGGAGACAGGCATTGATTTACCTACAGTTTCTCACTAGTTTTCTGCAGAATCGAACTGCTCTAGATGATCTGTGATTATAGACTGCAGGCAGCCAAACCATAAGCCAAACTAGTGAAGTCAGCAGGCTAGAGCAAAATAGGGGGTCGGAGTTATGATAGTTTTGGGTATGGTTTGTTTTTTTCATTTTGTGGACATGTCATAGCCTATTATTTGGTATTATTAACCAACTCAAGCAAAACATTTTCATTGTATCATTGGTAAAACAGTTATTATTGGATAGTTTATTCTATATGAGCTCATATGTGAAGAGTCTTTTCTGGAAAGAGATTTCTCTATGTTTTTGAATATACTGTGTTTGTACCATGTCAGAAAAGGGTATTTTTCCTTTAGAACTAAAGTGTTCACAAGGCAGTTCACACTGAAATAACTCTTTGGGAAAAAAAATTCTACAGACTGTTTTAGGAGGTTTTTGTAATGGTAGACAAGTTCTTAATGTCAAGTAGCTTTTCCTGCTTGGAACTCGTATTAGGTTCTGATACCTTTTCTACTCTCACAGAAATGAGTGGAAGTCTATATTTTTACATAGTTCAAGTTAAAAGACAGCTTTAATAGATTGCCTTGACAGTGATACCCAGTTTGCCAAGTATGAAAAAAACCTCATGCTGTAGTATGGAGGGATGGAGAAAAAGAAAAGAGGTTTCCTTCTTAGCTGATAGACAGTTATACCAATGTGTTTCTTATTTTTTGATTAGAGGTCTCTGCCCTCTGGAAACCACCAAACCAGCACATTTCAGAACAGCAAAATAATTTAATCTAGTGCATTCAATTGGGACTGTTATCCCAGAGGTGATAAAAAGGCTTCTGTTTGCTCAGTCCACCCTCAGGGTAATGTGGTTTTTGGTTGATTGTTTTTTGTTGTGGTTTTTTTTCCGTTAAGACTTGCTGTAATCCGTCTTACTATGTAGCAGAGGACAAAAATAACAGAAAATAATGAAACAGTGCCAGAATCTCAGAAAACTTTCTATAGACAACCTTATTCTGTTGGGAAAATACAGGTAGTCTATAAAAAGCTTTAACAGAGTTATGAATCCTTAGAATATTTCATATATAACAATCTATTTGTGAAGTAAGGAAATAATGTTTTTCTTTTCGTATTGTATTAGAACAGTTATTTGTCAAGTACTGTAAAAAGATTGTATCCATTTATCAGGATTGAGGAAGAGCATGGTTTGGGAGAGAAGCTGTCAAAACGGCATGTGAAAAGAGGCAGATTTTTTGGAATTTGGCATCTTCAATTGCCAACTATACTGGAGGCAGGTGTTTTTATGTTATAACTTGTTCCTGTTCCTATTATATCTGTGACTCTTATTACCTTTAACAGTGCAGGATTCAGCCATAAGTATTTGAGCTAAGTTATTCTAGAAGGGTTTTATATGACATGAATTATAATTTCTTTGTATATTTTCAGCACATAATCGATGTTTCCAATCTGCTAAACTAATATCCAAGGAATGTTTCTCAACACCCCCCTAAAAATATTTTGGAGCTTTTAGGGGATTTTGTTGTTCATCATTTTAATCATATGTCTTTCAGAAGTTTATGTAATGTTATGGTATTTAAAAATGTACTAAAAACATCTGTTAACATACTCAGCATGGAAAGAATCACAGTTGGTTTTCAGCTTATCTCTTATGGTTTTTTGCTTCAATTTCCAATGTGATATTTCTCAGAAATTATTTGCAGTAAGTGTATTAAATGTGTACTGTACTTTTACCTTTTGAACCTTTATTATGCTCCTCTGTTTACCAAAATGTTAAGCTAGTTTAATCAGGCATTACTAACCTATCTTAATTCTTCATCTGTTAGATGAAAAAACAGCTACTCTTACGAGTGATAAGACATCTGCCAAAGAAACTTAAAACCCATGAAATTATGCACAATTTATGTATTAGTGGAAGGTTTTCTTTGGTTTATTGATATAATTTTATACATAAACAGAGAGTGTAAATACATATGTAGACTAGTTGGATCTTTTTATTTTTACTTTCCTGTGATTAAGACTAAGCAGACATTAGAACTCTGAGTTTCATCTTTTCTGACATATTCAAATTCATTGGCTTAATATTTTCAAATAGTCACAAACTTTCCAGAGACTCTTAAACATTTAAAATCCCAAATGAAACTTGGTTTTAAAATCTGAGGCAATACATAGTGTGCTCTTAAATATCACTAGTTGATTATTTTTAAGGAAATATTATTGCAAAGTGGAGGTATATTTTTAGCTACAAAGTAATTAAACCACCTTCAGAGATGTATTTTAATATTCATATTTTACACTTTTACTGCAGTATATCATCCTGTTACTTATGTGTCTAGCAGGCCTCCTTTCTCTATTCCTTCTCCAGAATATAACCAACTTCCTTTGTATTCTAAAGATATATTCAAATGCAAACTGTGATTTAAATTGTGATATTATAAATTTTTTATCTTTAACTGTTCTTGAGTTCCAACAGAAGATACTGTGGTTGTGGAACACCTAATATAAATATGGCGTATATCTAAACTTGAATAGAAGGACTTGGTATTGTTTAGCTGCATTTGGGCAGTGGAATTGAGAGCAAGAAGAGAAACAGGCTCTGGAGTAACTTGTTGAAATGAAGACAACTTTGGGATGTTAAATTTAAGTACTTGGTTAGAAAAATCTATTTTGAGCTCACTTAACCTTATATATTCCCAGCAATTTGTTGAGCTAACTTGAAATGCAAGTTTTGGGTTTTGCATATTGGGCTGCTTTTAACACCATTAGGAAATTAAACTCCAAATAAGCCACTCTCCTTCCCCTACGCCTCTCTGGTAAGGGAGGGACAAAAAAAGGAGAGATTATTGGTTAAGATAATAATTCATTAAAAGCACAAAGCAATGGAATAAGACACAGACAATAACAACAGCAATATTAATAGCAAAAGTATACAAAAAAGAGAAGGTGTTTTACCCACAGAAAGGTAATACCAGGAAAAAAAACAATATGGTTTCCCCAGACAAGGGCAACATGGTGACCATGCCTGCGCCCAGCGCCACGTGGTATTCAGGAACAAAGGCA